GGGTTTTCGCCATTCTCCTGCCTCAGCCTCCCGAGTAGCTGGGACTACAGGCGCCCGCCACCTCGCCCGGCTACTTTTTTTTTTGTATTTTTTAGTAGAGACGGGGTTTCACTGTGTTAGCCAGGATGGTCTCGATCTCCTGACCTCATGATCCGCCCGTCTCGGCCTCCCAAAGTGCTGGGATTACAGGCTTGAGCCACCGCGCCCGGCCCAAACATTTAACTATTACAGGAAAACATTTTTTTCCTTTCTAGTAAACATACGGAGAAAAAATGTGACACAATAACAGAATACAGCAAATTATAGATTCCATTTAGACTTCATGATAACTGGTATTTTTAAACCTCCTTTATTTTTCTCAACAAGGGTCAACAACAATGGGTATCCTGGGGCTAGGCATTTTCAAAAGTACTTACGTCAATAATCTCTCCACGTAGAAAGTACTACAGAAAATTGTGGCTAAAGTTTCAATGATACATTTATCGAAGGCTGGTGGGCTGGTCCAGAGGCTGTCGCTTTGTGATTCTTCCCTTGCTCCCGCTATTTGTCAGGGATGCTGACCCTTGTTTCTTGTATCCAGGGTTCTGGGGGCTTCTAGCTTCCTGCTGGGTTTGGGTAAGGGCTGGAAGGAAGAAGGCAGAGTATTTCTCCTTTTCCCCCTCTGTCTTGGTGGCAGTGGCTGTGTCTCCTCCATGGCCCTAGATCCTATTGGATGGGCCCACGGTGGCCTCACCTTCTGCCAGGTGACTGTGGTCTCTGAAAACACCACCTCCTCCCTCTGTCTCTCTCCCTGTCACCTTCCCTGGAGAGAAAAGGCAGTGGCTTCCAGGTGTTAATGTCTGGGTTGCCTAACCATTCCCATTTGATCTCTCAGCTCTTGCATCACGTGGATATCAAATTCCCTGTGTTACATTTACTGAAATTCTTAGAATTGCTTCTTTTTCTCTGGTTAGTCCCTGATTGACATAGCTGTATTAAAGTTTGCAGGGATTATACTTTCATTCCTGCTTTTCTGGACACTCCATGGGTGATTCTTAGACTGGAGAGTGCCTCAGACTTTTAAGGGAACTTGTTGAGGACACATATGCTTGGGCACCATCCAGGGGCCTGGGGTCAGAATCTTGGAGCCTCTGGTCCAGACATGCACAGCACGGAGAGACGCCTCAGGTGACTCCAGTGAGCTCCTCTTGGCGTCACTGTCACTGAATCCTGATCCCAAATGTTGGAAGGGGACTAAGGGAAATTTCTCTTCCAAAAATTGATTCACTAACAATATTTAGCAATTGCCTGCAATCCTTTATGTAAACATAAATGACAATGAAGAAACACTTGAAATTTAACCTCAGTGCTAAACTCTCTGTAATGAGATATGATCCAGACTAAACCCGCTGGGCATTAAGTGGTAGTTACACAACCAATCATTTTGATGAGAGCTGGCTTTGAGTCTTGCCTGGCACATAACTGAGTGTGCACACCTGTGTTTTAATGATATACTCACTCGGATAATTTCACACAAGCAAGCATGCACAGGCCTGATTTTTTTGTTGTTCTTTCATATAGTTAATGCATCAACACAGAAATTCTCAAACGGCATGAAAGGGTATATAGTGAAAAGTGGATGTCCCTTCAATCTTCCCCAGCCCCTTAATTCCCTTCCCCTTCCCTTGCCCTCCCTTGCCCTCCCTTCCCCTCCCCTCCTCCTGATGGAGTCTCGCTCTGTCTCTGTCGCTGAGGCTGGAGTGCAGTGGTGCGATCTCGGCTCACTGCAAACTCCGCCTCCCAGGTTCACACCATTTTCCTGCCTCAGCCTCCTGAGTAGCTGGGACTACAGGTGCCCACCACCACGCCTGGCTAATGCTTTTTGTATTTTTAGTAGAGACGGGGTTTCACCGTGTTAGCCAGGATGGTCTCCAGCTCCTGACCTCATGATCTGCCCACCTCGGCCTCCCAAAGTACTGGGATTACAGGCGTGAGCCGCCGCGCCCGGCCCCTAATTTCTTTTAGGAAGCAACATTGTTACCAATTTCTTGGTTGTTCTTCAGAACTTTCTGACATACATACAAAAAGACATACACATATTCATCGCCCCCGCTTTTTTTTTTAAACAACAAATTATATTCTAATGCAAATAGCATTCTATACCCTGCTTTTTTGCACAATATATCTTGAAAAATATTGCTTATCAGTGCATCTAGATTTGCCTTACTGCTTTAGGAAAAATTCAGTTTTTCACTGTACATGTACACATACACTAAAATTTAAGCAACTCTCATTAATGGACACTGTTTCTAGTTTTTTGTTACTATAAACATAGCTGTAATGAATATCTATAATTGCATCTGTACATGAAAGAGTCTATCTGCAGACTAATTTGCTAAAATGGAATCGCTAGGTCAAAGGTGCATTTAACATTTTGACATTTTCAATGGGGTACTGCTTAGAACTCCCACCCAGAACTTATTAGAGGACCTGTTTCCTATAGCCTCACTCACACGAAGCCTCAGATTTTTTATCAATCTGATAGGTAAAATATGGTTTTCCACAGGGTTAATTTGCATATCTTAATTTAAATAAACAAAATCACATACTTAACACCCACCTCCAAAAAAATTGCTAACAATTTGTAATTGTTGACTCAGAAGAGGTGCAAATACAATGCAGAGATGGCAAAGGGGATACTTTGTTACAAAGTGTGAATGCCAAAGAGCACATCTGAAAGTTGAAGTGAACTTGTTGGGAGCCCCCATGTGTTAGAAGTTAGAATGTAATACTTTTGAGTGTGAGCTTACAATTGTACTTGATACAATTGTATTTGATTTTCTTTAAAATATCCTAAGAAGGATTTTAGTAAGGGTCACACTGGTTACTAAAAATCAATAGTCCCCCAAGTAGAAAGGCTCAAAGTCACAGAAACATATTTCTCATTCTCAACAGTCTGAGATAGATGTTACCATCAGTAGGACATTCTCCATCAAAGGCCCGGACCCCTTCCATCTTATGGCTCTGTCATCCTTTGGGGCTTGACTTGGAGAAGGCCACTCACTTCCCACAGGCTTTGTCTGCCACACATCTATTTCCTGCTTAAGTGCCATTGGCAGAATCCAGTCACATGGTCCATCATGGAAGCAAGTGGGCAGGGCTGGGAAATGTAGCCTCTGGATGAGCAGCAGCTTCTCAGCTACAACACTACACTAAAGGTGGGGCAAATTTTGATAGATAGTTGTCTCTGCCACAGAAAGGGTTTTCCACTTTTGCACATCTAGAGATCCGTGGAGCTAGGTTTTAATTCAGAGAATTGTTATTTAGCTAACTCTACTGGACTTTTTCTTTCTTTCTTTCCTTCTTCCTTTCTCTCTCTCTCTTTTTCTTTCTGTTTAGACAAAGTCTTGCTCTGTTGCCCAGGATGGAGTGCAGTGATGTGATTTTGGTTCACTGCACCCTCTGCCTCCTGGGTTCAAGGGATTCTTGTGCCTCAGCCTCCCAGGTAGCCGGAATTACAGGCACTCACTATCATGCCTGGCTAATTTTTGTATTTTTACTAGAGACAGGGTTTTATCATGTTGGCCAGGCTGGTCTTGAACTCCTGAGCTCAAGTGATCCACCTACCCTGGCCTCCCGAAGTGCTGAGATTACAGGTGTGAGCCACCACGCCCAGCCTCTAGTGGACTTTTTTTGTTTTGTTTTTTGATTTGGTCAGCCTGGCATTCCCTTCCTACTTCTGATAACAGAATTTTTGTTCTATAATTTCCTTTGGGGGAAATAGTTTCTCATTATTTCACATAACATGAATCACAGTCTCCCATCCCAGTGGTCACAAATGTGGTCATGTCACCCAGACACAGCCAGTCTCTCCTACTGTACTGAATTATTTTGAAGCTCCTCCCAGCTTCTGTATCATGTAGTTTGTTCTATTTCCCATCTGAAATTCTGTTTCCCATTTGATTTCCTGGGACCACTTCTACTGCTTCCATTTGAGCTGAAGAACTGCCTTATGTGGAACCTCTTCGAGAATCGCCTAGACTGATTTGGGATCCCCTCCCTAGATCCCTAAGTGTGGCTACACTCCAGCACTCACCACAGTGTATCGATTTGGTTGATTTGTTGTTCTGTACTCACCACAGTGTATCATATTGGTTGATTTGTTTGTGTGTTTCAGTTAAGACACCTTTGGCTGCAAGCATCTTACATGAAGCTTTTCTTGGGTATACCTCAAGATGCATATGCCACCAGTCCTTCCAGTAGCTGAAGAGGACTGGGTTTACTGGAACTCTTAAGACTGGTTACATCAGTCAGGACTAGCTTTTGACTGGGGCTGTGCCCAGTCTCACTGTAAACTATACATGACCATCTCATTTCCTTTGGCCAGTGATTGGGCTCCCAGTGGGCCAAGTTCTGCTCAATAAGACATAGAGCAAATCTCCTGATGGCTTTTGAGAACGATTTTCCTTCCTGGAAAGAAAGAGGCATGTGAGAAGAAAGCCCTTGTCTGCCCTCTTCCCCACCTCCATCCTTTCTGGTCTGGTCATTGCCATGGTAGACCTTTTTCCAAGGCGGCAGCAGCCATGTGGTAGACATCCTGTGCAGCTTGGGAGGAAGCTGGGACGCTGAGGTCGGTGGAGTAGAAGGATGAAAAGAAACTGGGTTCTTGCTGACAGTGCTGAGCCACTGAATTCACTCTAGCACTGCCTACCTTCTGATTTTTCATTAAATATCATAATAAATGGCCTTAGAATGTGACACAGTTCTCTCCAACCTTATTCCCACTGGCACACATAATTAAAATAACAATTGTATAGCACAAGGTTAAATGGCAGAATATTTGGGGCTTTGATATGGATACTGTTCACAGAAATTAATCGTATTTCTGTATGTTGATTTCTTTTTTTTTTTTTTTTTACCTCTAAAATGTTTTAATTATATGCCCATACATTATATAAAATATTTGCATCACTTTAGCTGGATATGAAAAGCAAGTCAAATGAAATGACGCTCCTCGAAACTTAAGTTAAAGAATCTTGTAGGAAGAGATATATTTTGTCTTTTTTTTATTCTTTTAGCATTCTGTACACTGACAATGAGGTATAATGACTGAAACTTAAATGTGACAGAATATTTCACAATTAAATCCACAATTGTGTACATTTGTCTTACATGTCAGTGAAAAATCACCAACTATTATAAAAACAGGACAAATTGTATCACAAAAGAAGGAAAAATTAGAAAAAATTCATAAAAAAATATATCCAACTATGAAAAGCGTTGCTCTCTTGGTGTCTTCACATCCGTCTCTTCTGAGTACTGATGTACAACACATTGTTTCCTCGGATAAATGCATCCCCATACTTATTCTTCAGTTGTCCATTTACATATTCTTCTGTCTGCTCCAGGGCTATATTCATGTAGCCATCCAGGCAAGCCAGGACCCCTCGATAATCCACTCCAGAATTTAATTTTACCACAACCGGTCGTCCGATGATTTGCTTTAAGAAGTCACTAGGGGTTTGCTTCCGAAGACTCATTTTAACAATCCTCGCGGGCGGGATCCAGAACCCTCACTCCAGGCGCCCCACGAGTCCGGCCTCCGCGGATGATCGCAGCCAAAACCGAAACCCGTTGATTTCTTAAAGTATAAAAAATACAAAAAATAAAATAGGAAGTTTTAGAAATAAGTAATGCATTTATAAATTTTTTCTTTTCTTTTTTTTTTTTTTACATGAGAAACTTGAATTTGCTTTCATGGATAGAACTTTCCTGTGTCAGATTTTATGCTTAAAGTAACTACAGGCAATTTCTGTTCAGGCCTTTTTAATGATGACCTGGCCATATATTTGATAGGCACTATCCACTAAAAGCTTTATTAGTATGAAGAAGCTACATACAAATGTAACACTTTTTTTTTTCTTTTCTTTTTTTTTTGCCCAGGTTGGAGTGTGGTGGCGTGATCTTGGCTCACTGCAACTTCCACCTCCCGAGTTCAAGCGATTCTCCTGCCTCAGCCTCCCAAGTAGCTGGGACTGCAGGCACCCACCACCACACCAGGCTAATTTTTTGTATTTTTAGTAGAGATGGGGTTTCATCATGTTAGCCAGGCTGGTCTCAAACTCCTGACTTCAGGTGATCCACCTGCCTCAGCCTCCCAAAGTGTAGGGATTACAGGCATGAACCACCGCCCGGCAGAGACAGGTTCTTGATGTGTTACCAAGGCTGGAGCACCATAGTGCCACCATTGCTCACTGCAGCCTTGAATCCTTGGGCTCAAGCAGTCCTCCCACCTTGGCCTCCTAAATAGCTGGGATTACAGGTGCATGCCACCATGCCTGGCTAAGTTTTAATATTTTTTTATTTTTATTTTTGTAGAGGTAGTATCTTGCCCAGGCTAGACTCCAACTCCTGGACTGAAGTGGTCCTCTCACCTTGGCCTCTCAAAGTGCTGGGATTACAGGCATGAGTCTTTGCGCCTCGCCAAAATTAATTTTTAAAACGCCTTTTCAGAAATTCCCACTGCTAACATTTTATTTAAAGGCTTTATGAGTAAGTATCTTCTTTTCTTTCATTGACAAATGTTGGTATTTGGGATTTCTTGTGATAATGCAGATGGCTTGCAAGTCCAGTGAATTTTTCTTTTTTCTTTTCTTTTTTTTTTTTTTTGAGATGGAGCCTCGCTCTGTCACCCAGGCTGGAGTACAGTGGCCGGATCTCAGCTCACTGCAAGCTCCACCTCCTGGGTTTACGCCATTCTCCTGCCTCAGCCTCCCGAGTAGCTGGGACTACAGGCGCCCGCCACCTCGCCCGGCTAGTTTTTTTTTGTATTTTTTAGTAGAGACGGGGTTTCACTGTGTTAGCCAGGATGGTCTCGATCTCCTGACCTCATGATCCGCCCGTCTCGGCCTCCCAAAGTGCTGGGATTACAGGCTTGAGCCACCGCGCCTGGCCATGTCCAGTGAATTTTTCTAGATGGAATACTGTCTATTTCACAATAGTGTGAAGTGCGCACGGGCAGAACACACAAGCCTGGTTAGATCAATTCCCTGCTGCTAGCCTGGATTCACTAAAAGGGAACAGATGAGAAAGTACAGAAGTAACTAGGTTATATAAAGACAGAAATCAGAACAACTACCTGGAAAGGAACTCAGCAAGAGTTCTGGCCAGACCTCCCACCAATGCCTTGTTAGCTTGGATCTCATGTTCCTTGGCATTTGGAACACAAATCCCCCCAGCAGCTCCATTGCCCCTTGGGCAGTGTACACAGCAGCAAGGCTTGCAACTGGCCAGTAAGGCAGATGTCTGGCTGGTGGAACACCTTTTGATCACACTGCATGCATCAAGCACTGTCAGCACTGTTCAGTGGAGGACTTAATTGAAGATCGGTACTGCTTTTTCGCATGGAAGGTCCGTACCTATTGTATTTGTCAGGATTCACCTGGTTGCTAATGGGAAAAACCCAAATTTGAACTGACTTTAAACAAAGGAGGAAACATGACTTTAGCTTCAGAGATGGCTTCTGGTAAGACATCATCAGGGATGGCTCTCTTTCTTAGCCACGATTTATTTTTGCTTCATCATGTGAAATTAAAATTTTTTTTCTTTTGGAGATAGTCTTGCTCTGTCACCCAGGCTGGAGTCCAATGGCACGATCTCGGTTCACTGCAACCTCTGTCTCCCGGGTTCAAGCCACTCTCCTGCCTCAGCCTCCCGATAGCTGGGATTACAAGTGCCCACCACCACAGCTGGCAAATTTTTGTATTTTTAATAGAGACGGGGTTTCACCATGTTGGCCAGGCTGGTCTCGAACTCCTGACCTCAAGTGATCCACCCGCCTCGGCCTCCCAAATGCTGGGATTACAGGCGTGAGCCACTGCGCCTGGCCTAAAATTTAAAATGTAGTTTCAACTTTTATCTACATTATAAAGGTACATAGTTTAAAGACTTAAATACTTAGCTGGGTGCGGTGGCTCACACGTGTAATCCCAGGACTTTGGGAGGCCGAGGTGGGTGGATCACGAGGTCAGGAGATCAAGACTATCCTGGCTGACACAGTGAAACCCCATCTCTACTAAAAATACAAAAAATTAGCTGGACATGGTCATGGGCACCTGTGGTCCCAGCTATTCAGGAGGTTGAGGCAGGAGAATGGCATGAACCCGGGAGATGGAGGTTGCAGTGAGCTGAGATCGCGCCACTGCATCCCAGCCTGGGTGACACGGTGAGACTCCATCTCAAAAAAAAAAAAAAAAAAAAAAAAAAAAAA